GTCCTCGATTGAATTGTGGTACGACGAGGAGCGCCTACAAGTTTTCAACCTCGCCAAGACAGCGGGGAGTGATGCAAACAACGCAAGGCAAGACAGTGGCAAGTGAACCAAATCATTTTACGGGTTGGGGATAGTTCACATGTGGGGGGAGGGTGGGCGTGAGGCATCAGTGGCATGCGTGGCGTTCTGTTTTAATGGTGGCCTGACACGGTGCACGACACGGATTGAACGAAAGAAGGTGTCATCGATGGAGCAAGAGACCACCATGCAAAGGGCAACATTGAAGTATATCAGACATGTATGCAACGAAATCAGAGATGCAATGTTATGCTTCATCAACGAAAGGTCGAGGATCATCATTCACGTGGCGACGACTTTGATGACATGCCACAACGAAGATGGGCAAAAACAGAAACTGAAAAAAACTAACACAATAACAAAGTTTAATATTGTCGATCATATTCAACGGCGCGAAAGTGGCAAACAGAACAACTTGCAGTCCGTCTTGCGTCGGTGTCCGCTTTGACTGCCGTTCAGCAATGACTCGTCAACTCACGGTCACAGTTTCGTACTGCGTCTGTGCTTGTGATGCCTTTGTTTTTGTTTTTTCTCGTTTTTTTTTCTTTTTTTCCATGCAGTATGGACTCAGAATGGATGCAGAGGCAGTTAAGACAAGATTGGAGGGAAACGCCAATCAAATGGGGGGAACTGGTATCAGACCGGCTGAGGAGACAGCGTAACGCCGTCGGACTTGTCAAGTGGGATTTTGCATATTACGAACCGTCACTGCACTTGTATCCTCTAAGCGCGAGAAAAAAGATTTACAACCTCGTGGGGGTGTGCGACCGTCAGAATAATAATAATTACAAGAAAGACGGGAACGCAAGATACAAGGAGGTCTTCTACGGTTACGGCCTTGTGGCTGCCCCGGTGATAAAGAAATGCAGCGCCACCATTGCATATGTTGCTGTACAATATCACGAAGGGCTTACAATATGTGCAACGAAGACATGGAGACAAAAGATCCCGCGGAGTGATGCAGGAGTCCCGATGGTGCGAGCGTACAAGCAGCACGTTAAACAATATTGTAATCACGCACGGGATGCAATGTTGGAATTCGTTGCTCGGAGGACTGCCATCACTGCTTCTATATCAACAGTCATCATAGAGAGCGAAGAAACAACAGGGGTCAACCGCAAATTCAGAAAAATTCAGTTAACAACGAACTTCAACATTACAAAGAGTGTACTCCGCCGAGCCAACGGTCTAAGCAACGACCTTGTTCATTTGCGCCGCTGT